GCGGGGGAGGGGGGGGGGGGCGGGATGGCGCGGGGTAGTCCATTCCAGATGACCTGAAGGGGGCATCATAAGCAGCATCGTTGAGGGTCTGAGTCTCAACAACGGGGCCTCATGCAAGGAACATTGCAGAAACAATCCGTCAGCACTTTGTAGTGGCTTACAGTTAATGTCAGGTGGATTGTATTAAAAGAGGGAGGTTAGGGCGGGGGGTGGAGCAGTAGGAGGAAGTTCTGATTTGCCTGCCCTGGCAGGCGAATTAACAGGGGGGGGGGGTTGAAAAGCGTGCATGAGGGTAAGTAGACAGATATGCATGGCCTGGAGGTGGTTAGGCTGGGTGTGGGATGGGGGAGAAGCTTTTTGCATCATTGGTAGAGTTCAGCACGGCTTATGTGCCTGGCCACTTGCTTTCTGGCGGCCCACCCTGGTTTGCAGGAGTACCGCCCTCCCTTCAGAGACGTGGTGGTAGCATTGCGAGAGATGCTGCCTAACTCAGAGGCTCGACCAATGATGCAAGACTTGGGGGTCGAGCGGGCTGAGTTGTTTGCAGATTGCAGCATCGTTTGTCAGCTTTGCTCATGTGGAGGTACCAGAGCCCCCACCTGTTCGGCGTACGCACGAGTCCAACCAGTTCGCCCAGGGATACCAAGCCCAGCCTGGCTTCAATGCCCACATTGGCCACCTTGGTGGCCACCTTGGTGGCCAAGGTTACCTCCAGGATCAAAGCCAACCAGTTATAGAGGAATTTGAGGACCGGAGGCTGCAGCTGGCCGTGCAGCGCCAGCCTTCCATGCACGACGATCGCTTCAAAGGCGTGGCTATGCGTGGCTGGTGCTGTGGAGTTGTTCATTTGACATCGAGATGCATGAACTACTATTCGCAGAAAGCTTGCTTTCCTTGGGACAGGTAATTCGATGCATGTGCAGACCGGTAATTCAGTGCAAGTCCAGACAGGGCCTTTGAGCCCCGTGAGCCCGACCCTTAGCCGCAAAAGCCGAACAGAATCCCTTGCTGCCTGAGCTGGCACTACAACTGAGGTGCGCATGCTGCCCAGCTGCGGCAATTCAGCGCTCGGCACGGATTCCATCCCTGGGCAGCCCGGCCCGCGCTGCTTTGGACTTTAGAGCTGCCCGGCCGTCAAGATTTTGCAGTGTCTGGTGTCTTCAAGACGGGTTCCCTCATTTTTGCCTTTTTTGGTTGCAAGCCAACTGCGTGTTTGGCACCCACCACCATCCTCTTCAAAGTTCGTTTGCTGAGCGCCTGCGCTCTCAAACAGATGGCAGCGACGAGACTGGTGTCAGTGTTGTTGAGGGGCGGGGGTGTCGAGATTTCCGGGCAAACGTGGGGGCTCTGGTGGAGAACTCTGAATACCAAAGCTTTGGAGAGGGTTGCTAGGGTTCTCAGAACCCCGCGATTCAAAGTGTGATTTTCGATGTCTACCTTGTCTCATGCATGGATTGCATACATATGCATTAGCCGTCTTCTGCTGCCGTAGTACTTATGAAGGCGCTTGACGCCCAGTGTAGCGGGTAGCGCCCTGGATCGGAAAAAACATCTGTCCGGATTGCGTTGCGCTGCAAGCGCAACGGTATAGGTTGGTATTAGGGTCGCTTTCCTATGGATTGTCACCTCTGAGGAAATGGACCCTGCCGCAAGGGAGGTTTGCACTGATGTCAGGCCTGACAGACGGATCCCATGGAAGGACCTAGATCCCGGGGCCGCGCCTGTGCATTGAGGCCGTTACCATGACGGTGGATATGTCCGCAGATGCCATCAAAAAAATGAATCTCTGCATGCTGCAAACGTTTGATGAGCTTCGAAGGCAGGCGCCTGATCGAGAAACAACGCTTGAGTTGAGACGCGAGTTGTTGCACCCTCCGAAATCCGACGCACCGCAGATCATCACATGACGATGCTGTGGGAACGGCCGAGCCGAGCAGCTTCGCGCGGGGAGGTGCTCCTCCGCCTGTCTATATTGACGTGCCCAGCGCGGCCGAAGCTGTGCGAAGGATTGCAGGCGGCTGTTGATACTCTGGCGTCGGATGATCATGAGATGGTTCATCTCACTGACTAGTCCATTTCGGAAGGAGATGTGTCCGTAGCCTGATCTGAAACTGTTACGGAAGATATCCGCAGAATTCTCAGTGAGGCCAGACCCGCACTTCGAGCGTCCGGAAGAGAGTTCCTTCATCCCACTCCGAAAGAGCGTCCCATTCCAAAGGAGCATCCTATTCCGAAGGAGCGACCGAGTGCTAGGATATTCTTTCAAATTCCGGATACTTCTTCAGAACTGACTGCCGAAACTCGTGACAGCGAAAGAAGGGTCCGTCACGGAACCAGGAGCCCAGGTTCCGAGAGAAGATGATCGGCAGCATGGCAGTCACGAGAAACCAGCAAAAAAACAATCATCCCCACCGTCCTGGAGAAGGGAGACTGGTCCGTGCGGTAATGAAGCCTCGTCCAGGACTACCAGGACTACCACTCCGACCAGGCCCGTTACGACTGGACAAGCTGGCGTGCGTGGAGCCAGTGGGCTGAGCGGCGCTGCGCAGCTCGGCGCCCCAGCGCTTGCTACGCCTATGCCCGAAATTCCGGAAGCTGAGGAGTTCATCCGTGGAAGGTGCGATGGCAAGGGCAACAAGAGCGGCCGTGGAAAGGGAAGAACCTTCGCAATGAACCGCAGTCAAATCGCGAGTCCTCTGGAGATGCGCGCTCCCGCTCGCGCGGCTACCGCTGAGCTTTGAGCGCTGACTGGACCAATGCCGCTGCTGCGCCGCCGCTGCTGAGCCGCCATGGCGCTCCTCCTCGCGCTGAGGACTAACTCATGTAAATGTGTTTCACCTTCCGAACATTCCGACAATCTCCGTACTTTTGCATGTGCATCTGCACGCATATTACGTAGAATAGGGATATGACGAACTGCGCATTTGTATGATACTCCTCCCCGTGAACTCGCTAGACTTTTGTATGTAGCCCACTCAGCGTGCCCTTTGGTTCATCGGCTGCTCACTGACGGGAACCTGAGATGATGCCCACGGTATTCATGGACTCGTAACTCCGCTCCTCTACGATGCAGACACGCATTGACGGGGGGGTGTGATTTTCCATGTTTACTTTGTCTCGTGCATGGAGTGCGTACATATGCATTAGCCGTCCTCCGATGTCGTAGTACTGATCAAGGCGCTTGACGCCCAGTGTGGCGCCTTGGACAGGAAAAGGCTTCTGTCCTGCAAGTACAGCCGTACAGGTTGGTATTAGGGTTGCATCGCTCCGCCGCTTTTCCGCACTTCCCAGGGGTTTCTCCACTGTAGCGTGGTGTTGGGCTAGTTCCGTATCATTTCACACAAGGTATTCAGCGTCGCCCAATAAAATATTTTGGCTGGGCCACTTCAGTTCAAATGCCCGAAGGGCTGAGCGCCTTTGGGTGGCCAAATGAATACTCATCTCAAGACTAACACTTCCCTCTGCCTGGATGATGCAGCACCTGGCTTGCACTTGTTGACTAGGCACGACTAGGCCCAGGCCTTGTTCACAGCGTTTGAAATCAAGGGCTCTTGTTTCCAGTGATCTGCAACTTAGGAAGGGATGCCATAAAACTCAGCATAGCGGTCGAAGCAGCAAGAGTTTCATTTCTTTGGAATTTGTGTGGGGACTTTAATTTCGGAGCTGCTGCAGTTCGACAAGAGCCCACCCAGACAGGCTTCGAAAAAGTCGTCCAAATTAGAAATCAGTCATGTGCGCTTGAACATTGCCAAACACCAAGTCTGGCAGTCACTCGGAGTCATTCACTGGGTGGCTGCCTTCCTCCCTTCCCTCTTCGTCCAAGCGTCCAGTCCAGGTATCTATGGGTTTGGCAAACATCTGAATGGTCGGGGGTCTAGAGTCTAGGTAGCAGACTTGGCACGTATTGCAATGGCAGTGTGCAAGTGTGTGCGATGAAAGCATAGAGAGTCTGTTGTATAGGCGAAACAAGAGATGCTTCCCTCTGTGGCAGTATCATTTCCAAAACGTGAAGGATTTATAGGACTTACAAAGGTTACATGTTGGAAGCATGTAACAACAACACGGACCGACCAGAGTCATGGGGATAGCTTTCCCTATGATGGTTCGCACTACTGAAATCTGATAGCATTTGGTGCCAAAAGCCGCGACAGCCACGAAGATAATACCCCGGAGCCGCCCAAAAGCAACGACAGCCACGGAATTTCGGGTTTCAAGCGCGCACGCGGCAAGCCCCCTGCCATGCCCTGCCCTTGGACCCTCGCATTGGGGCTAGCAGCCTGACTATAGAACAGTTAAAGGTGTGTAAATTTGGTGGCCAGTGCCAGGGCTTCAGAACCCATGCGTCATAGCATCAGCTTCCGGGCACTATGTCATTCCCTCACCTGGTTCAGCATCATCTGCAAAAACCATGCAGCTCACACCGTTCCAGTACCCCCCATAACCAGGTGTGTCAAGTCCGAATGCGTGAGCGGCCTTTCCTCCAAGCCAAAGGCCGACATGGGAGGGTGCTCCATGCCATTTTCTGATGTGGGAGAGCTTCCGTGCTTCCGGGCCCTAGCTGTCACGTTGCAAGGAACAGAGAACTCTACCGCACTTGGGTGACCTCGGTCAAGCGATGCCCCGCGGCTGCAAGCAAAAAAGTCTACACTAAATGGTTTCCGCTTAAGTGGTTTGGTCACCTCAGGGTTGTTTGCAGGCCCATGTTTCGTTTCGGCCGGCTGTTCCAGAATGACTTCTGTCGGCTCATGCTTCCAGCCTGGGACCTGGCTGTCATAACGACAGGGCACGAGCTGAGAGCTTGGGATGTAGGCCTTGGGAGCAGCGAAGCTTCACCAGCGTGTATAGCTGTCGCTGAATGGCTGCATGTCAGAATGTGCGTGCTTCTTGCCTGCTGAGAATGACCACTTCTCCTCGCAAGTCTCGCGGGAGCACTTCCAGATTTGGGTGGCTATCCCAGTTCGCAGTAGCTCAGCCGTCGCATCCTTGAGGCCAAGAGCCAAGAGGGCTTCTCCCAAGATGGGCTCGGGACAACCCCTTTAATGCTCAACGTAGGCCCCGTAGGCCCCTGAACGGCCTTGACCAAACCCGAATCCTTGAGGCTGAGGAGTGGCCTGACGTGGGTCTTCAGTTACCGGGCCGGCCTTGCTCATGCCTTGCTTGCTCGCTTTTTCCCATGCTTTCGCCAGTCTTTTAAGAATCATGGCTCCTCCCCACACAAACACGAGTCCTCATCACCTGTCTGATGTCAGTCTTTTTGACCAACTACGGCACTGTCGGGACAACTGTGGATGGTGAGATGCTGGACTCTCGCGGGCAGCAGGCTGTGCTTCACGAGGGTGTGATGCTCAGACCGGCCGGAACACGATAAAGCAGAGGTGTGACTAAGCCGTTGGGGTGAGTGATGAAATGTGTGCTGTAGTGCTCAAGGCAGCATCCCTCCCAATCATCTCCAAAGAGATTTGCATTCAAGGAAGTCGCATCGCACTCCTGCGGCGCGTTATGGACAAGGGCCGGGAATCGAAGGTGGGAACCTCCTGATGCCATTGATGCCTGATCCCTCAAAGAGCTCTGCGGCAGGTGGAGTTCCTCGAGTTCATCTTCAGCTTGGAAGGGCCCGGAACTTAGACTTAGAATGAGTCATGTTGAGCTCATGGAATATCGGGATGCAACCTTGCGGTGACAGGCGGAAACCTGAACCTGCTGCTGTATTGAATTGCGCATGTTAGAGCCACAAACAGCCACAATAGACAATAGCTGGTTTGGAGGCTACGCATCTGCACGCTGAGGTGGTTTGCAAGCAAGTCTATGTGTTTATGCCGCTTGGGAGACCGGCCTAGATATCGTTCAGGTAGTCCTTTCAATTTTAACATATTTTAACCTTTGGCCAGGCTAAAATCCCAATCCGTATCTTACTCTGGTCTTGTAGCTGGCACCTGGCGGAGGTCAATCTTGGTTGATGCAGATGCCACGGCCTCGCAGGAAGTCCTTAGGGTTGTTGGAGAAACACCAATGGCACCAGGTTTACCCTAAACCCTAAACAGTAGTTTCTATTTTTTCCATTATCCCAATATAACCCCAGTACAACCCTAAATGCCTGGCCACTAAGGAGACCTACCAGTCCATGCCTGGTTCTCGAAGGAGCTGAGAGGACCGCCCCCTGGCATCAGACAGTCATCTGCCCTGCAAGGAGCTGTGCAGCACCCTCGCCCCCTTTGCTGGGAGGCCTCAAAAGCAAGCAGAGCAAGCAGAGCAAGCTACCTGAAATTCTTGGTAATACAGGGTCTGCGACTGCATGCTCACGCTAGTGTGGCGCTCAGTGTTTGGCTCAGACTTCGTAGTGCTTTTGGAAGGCCTTGGTCCTTCACCAAACTCGGAGAGGCAAGAGGGTGGGCAAAGGTCGGATGAGGGAACGTGCGCGTCTTTGACAGGTGTGGCGACAAGGTGAAGGGTGGCATGTCCTTCGTTGGGCCAGATGTGGAGCCAGTGTATATCCTGGAGGATTGGGGTCATGGGGGTCCAGAGTCCAGCCAGCCGTGAATGAATCTGAGCTCTTCAAGACTGACTGGCAGTTGGGTGGCACAGCTTTGCGGGCAGGAGTCCATTGCTCAGTCCGTACATTTGCAACATATTTGGAAGATTGTGCGAATTTGAGTAGTATTTAAATTGGGGATACTATGGACCCAATATAGAGTACGTAAGATTTTATCCGCCTTTGGGGGTATAGTATTTCATATGAGGAATATAATCTTACTAGGTTCAACCATACTCATTTGTTGCTACCGATTCATGTGGGCAAGCTGTAGAATCTTTCAAGTGGTCCAACTGGCAAACTTGTATGAAGGGCTGAGGTGCTGGCAATACGGACTTGAGTCCATCAGCCATCAGTCAGGCTCTCCCAATATGGACAAGGTGTAGCTGAAGCATATTGTGATATGCTGATATACAATTGCTTGGACTGGCTGTGCTAACAGTGGAAGCCCGCAGTGAGGCATGACATCAGGAGAGCCGATGCACCGCTTACCCAGGTGCCTCGCGAGAACTTCAGAGTGCTGCATGGCCCATCGGCCTCAGCAATTGCGTCGGCACCCTCCTGCGAGGCCGATCGCCCAACTTGAATACGGCCAAAGCTCTGGCACCATCATGGTCCGAATTTCAAGCCAGCAGCAGAGTCAAGAATCTGTCTGGGTGGTTCAGGTTCCCTGCCCGCCCTTGACTCTCGGAAGCAAGCTCCAACCAGGCCCCGCATTTTGCTGTTCCTTTACCACTCGATGAGCTCTCTGGGTGTAGCTGAGGGCTATGTTGACCATTTGTATTCTGAACAAATCGGGTTGCACACAAATCTGCAGAGGCTTCTGGAACAGGATCTTGACCGATGACGCGAGCCCCTGACCGGTTTTCTTTGTGTGCCACCGCCAGTTGTTCTGCAGCTGCCTCAAAGCCCCCTTGCCCCACGCTGACCTCTGCTCTCCATGGCAGGAGAGACTTGCTGGCGGAACAGCACCTGCAGATTGAGGCCTACGCCAGTGCTTTGTGAGATTGATGACACGCAGCTGCTCTGCAACATCCTTTACATGAGTGCCGAAAAATCGCTACGCCAGGTCGATGAAAGCCTTGAAGGCCTTGAGCAGCGGCGTTTCTTCCTGAGGAGGGGCAGGATGCAGCCTCAAACTGGCTACCCGAAAGCACAGACGTGGCCAGGAATCTCAGTGAGCTGTCCCTGCGCGTTGAAGGCGCGCCGGAGGCTCGATGAAGGTTTCCGAAGGTGTGCGCTTGTTAGTATCTGTTTTGGTCTCGTCGGCTCGGTGGTAGTCATCTCGTCCTCCAGACTACATCTTTGCAAATCCTGCAATATCCTGCACTTGCAACATCGCTTATTGCAGGGGCACGACAGCACTCGGCTGCCAGATGAGGTGACTGGGATGTGTTTCGTGTTGCATTGTTTAAGGTCTTGCCTGGGCTTGATAATGGATTACTGGATTGAAGGGGCTGCTCCCGTGGCGCTTTGTATCTGATTGAAGGGGAGGGTATCTCAAAACCAATCGATTACAAGGTCAGGAGGCATGTCAACAAAGTACGTTCTTTTTGAGGATGCTTCTAAGAAGCTTGTCGGTGTCTGTCTCGTGGGATGTTACAAGGATGGTCGTTGGCAGCTGCACCATGGTGACACCGTGCTCCTGAACCTCTGCAAGGCCTGGGACTCCAAAAACCTTGGCACCTCATGCGTGCTTCTCGGAACATCCCCCGCAGGGCTCAGGCTGTGAATTTTTTCCCGAACCACCAAGCAAGTATTCTGTTGAAGTATGGGAGGGAGACCTGGGAGATAACGAATTTTCAGAGGGCTGTCTCATAGCCTTGCAGAGGCACTGGGTGCTGATGCTGTTTGCAAGTCACGTGCATACAGGGCCAGAAGATTCTGGAAAATGTGCAACTGGAACTAGGGAACAGATGGTGGCAGTGTTGCAGACTCGGACCCTACCCGCTTCTACGATTCTAGCAGGGAAGCTCCATGTGGATGTGCTTCCGCGAGTTCTCTGCAAAGGCGCGGGCAGCTTGGAGAAGTGTTGCATTGATGGAGCCGATCTGATTCTGCTTGCCAGTGCCGATGCCAGGCTTCCTCGATGTGTGAGGCTTAGGGCCAAGGTGACCATCGGACAAGGGCCTCAAGGTGTTTCCTGCAGGCGCAGCTGGCAGACGTCCCAGAACGCTCATAAGGCGGTCCACACCGCTTGTATCCCGCCTCCGCCAGCTCCGACCAGCTCCGACCAGCTGACCAGCTCAAAGCCTGTTGATTTGCGCTCTCGGGCGTGAAAAAGTGTCAGCTGCATGTAGCTGCTAGGTCAGCTGCAAAGCGGTTTGAGCAGCCTCTTAGTATTTCTCAGTCCTGCAATTGCCCACAATTTTCAGGCTGCATGGGATAGACTTCAATCTTCAAAGTGGGGAACTGTAGTGAAGCTCCACCTGGTTCTCTTGGGTTGGACAGACCGAACAAATGCGGTTGTGATGTCTGATAATGCAGACAGTTGCCGAAGGACCTCCCGCTACATTATATTCCAGAGAGGGCTGGTGGGATGTCACGATGCGAGCCCCAGCATACGGCAAGTCCGCCAGGAGTCAGGGAGCGTCGCTTGGGAATATTGGGCTATCACTCGCATATGCCTTCGGGCTTGGGCTGCTGCACTGCACTGAGGCTGTCCCGACCCCCAATTGCGGCGATTTCGCCGACCAGTCTTGTTGGCACCCAATTCGTGCTGGTAGCAGGACATCAGTTTGCTACAATGCTGGATTTACAGAGCAAGCAAGAGCTACGACCTCTTTTCATATGCAGAGTGACTGGTTCGTGGACTTTCTGAACCAGTGATTTCTCACTAACCACAGGGATGGGGACTCGCAGCACGTGCCCACCTTGGACTCCGACAGGTTCAGCGACCCGCTGCCCACTTTCCGCGCGGTCCCACGCTTTTTGGCGGGCATGTGAAAGGCGTTCCTGCTGTCACTGCGGGCCATGGCCGACAAGACCGCGACGATCACAGGTCCACTGGCTGGTCAGCTTGCCCTGAAACGCCAATACGCTGGCGTTTCTTCCAGCTCCGACTGCCCCGCACACAGGCTACGGGCAGCGCTCAGGCCGCAGCCTAAGTTGGTGGCTGTTTCTCTGGACGGCCGAGAGGTGTATATCTCCTGCGCGGCTTTCCGGACCGCAAGGTCGCTTTGCATGCTGTGCGCTGTGCCTTTCGCCACCTTCCGCCTGGGTGATGGTCGTGACTGCCTAAAGCCCGGGGGTGTATGCGCTTGGCCAGCACGAGGCTGGGGGTTTTGCGCTGGAAGCCATGCAAAGCGGTCAGCGCCTCTTCGCGCTCTTTGTGTCATCACCGCGAGTGCGCGCACCTGGTCGAGCAGCGGGTGCCCACGGTGGCGCACAGTGGCGTGTGGTGACAATGCCGTACACGACATGCCCCGCAGCCAGCTGGGATGCGGGACCTTGAGCAGGCCACCACCCTGCCCTGCCATATCCCGCCCGCCAAGCAACATCAAATGCGTCGCGAACCCTGTGCAGTCCTGTGCAGGCTTCCTTGGATTCTTCTCAGGCCCATGTAGGCCAATGTACGTAGGCAAACAAATAGAAGTTCTCGAGAAAAAAGCGCTTCCCCGCGCAAGGTTTTACAACGGCGTTTTCGTGCAACAACTCTCTTTGAACATGGCGCTCTCGCGTGACAGGTCCTCAGCCTTAAGCCCTGTAAGGTTGCAGTTCAAGATGACATTCTCGCGCGAAGCGTTTTCAAATCGTGCTCCCATGTCCATGAAAGCGCCCTCGCTTGTTCCTTAATCGCGTTCTGGCCGGGTAAGTCGACGCAAGTTTTTTGAGCATGACGATGTCGCGTCGGCCCGCAAAAATCATTGATTTTTTCCCGAATGCGTAGCAGAAGGGTTCCCGTTTTAAAGTTGGGGTTCAGGGGTCCAGGAGG